CTTTTAGAATATTCTTTTATCGCCTCTGCATCGCTTTACAAGCTCGGACGTGAGTTGACAGTGGCACGATACTCCACGATAGCGTGTAGCTTGAGCTTTTCTGAGGAGGATAGAATTTTACTGCCATTCCTCTTGGGCCATTCTTGACGTTCAGTTCTCCGACGGAGACTTCGAAGGAGGCATGATCATTCGTGTTGAAGTTCTCGAGCTTCAAGACTGCCTCACGCTCAGTCAGGTCGCCATCCAGCCCTTTGGTTCGACAGCTGTTTGAGTTCTGGGATTTGACCATGTTCCCCCGACCGATCCTACCAAATGCTATCACGTTTCGGACTGCCTTCGGGGAAGTGGGGCTGAAAGCGAATTAATTAGAAATAGAATTCGCTGTTTCAGCAGTCAAATACACACTTTTAAGCCTGTTACGATCGACAGCAATTTTGGGGGACTTTCAAACGAAAATTGAGTTTGTCAAGTTAAACTGTTTAATGGCACTATTAGCATCGACCATCGACTATAGGGGGCTATATTGATCATGGACGGAGAAGGGTCGTTCTCGAGACTTCCGTTGGATGGTGGGGGACGTACTGCTGCGTCGGTTTTCTTGAGACAGTGTTCCTCCAACTCCTGAATGTACGTAATTTGGGCCAAATGCATTTCGGTTTCGCTGCTACCCTTACTTTCATTAAACACTCCATCTGTTTCGAAAAACACTTGTGTAGAATTGAATCACTGGATTCTCATTGGCTCTTCTTTCAGAGACATATCGACCATTCTGATGATTATTCTTAGCGTCTTCTTCGTGATGTTAGCCATCGCATACCTTGGAACAGCTCGCCAGGAGTCTCTTGTAGCTACAGCACATACAGTATCCGGTAAGTTTCCTTCTTCGATATCCGTTGCGTTCCCACCAATGACTCTTTGGAATCGATATAATTTATTTCTTATTTTTTATTTTATCACTAATTACTTAATTTCACCGTATTTTTTGACGGTTTGTTTTAGCTTGTGGCGTTTCGAGTGATGTCGATTTTTCAATGTTATTTGAAGGGTCGCAATATTTTGCGCAATTTTACACATAAAATTTTGATTTTGTTTGTTTGCGGCTTGCACAAAAGTACCATACCAGAATGAGAAGTACCGCTCCTTCCATCAGTCGATTTCTTGTGGTTGGCAAGTCTTTGTGTTCTTGTGTCTTTGATTGAGACTCAGATTTTCATGATTGCATTCATGCTCGAGAATTTTGTGCCGTTCTAGCTTCAATCAAAAATTATGAACAGAATGGAAAAGTTTGTGGCCAAAATATATGTCGCTCAACCTGATAGCTCTCTTTTCTGTTTCTCTTTCCTACCGTGACTGGATTTTTGAAACAAATAATATATTCCTTATTGTAGGTGCCATTCGTGACACTGTCCACTTCTTCTACATGTATGCTGTGGTCCCGAGCTTCGTTGTATTGGGAGGTGAGATCCTTACATCGAGGTCTCATTTCACAGCTTCAATCCATTTTTTCAGCAGCGGCAGTCGTTCTTGCCATGTATTTCGGACATAAAAAATGGGTCCAACTGAAGGAGAAGGAAGAAGCTGCATTTTACGATTTAGTGGACAAGATTCTGGGTAAGCCTTCGTAGATTTTCTATGGTAGACTTAATGTTATGTACCCTAATTCTAGATATTGTAAGAGAAGCCAATGAGAACGGCGAGGAGTACATATCGATACCGCATGTGAGAGACGTGATGTTCCCTCCTGCCAAGAGGTGCGTTAGGGATTTTGTTTTCCTTTTGTTTTTTTTTTTAATTTTTAAATGTCGTGCTCGTGCCATTCGAGCTGATGAGTGGAAATAGGGTGAAACGACTGGTTAGAGTCATTAAGCCCCATGGGACATGTCGCGACACCGTGATCTTTCGAATAATGCCGACTCCTACTGTCAAATACCATGAACGCGCAACTCTCAAAATCATTTCGCTTTTCTTCCAATGTTTTCAAATGACTATCTGCATTCTGAGACTTTTAAAAATGTGTAGTGAAACCCTCTACAGTACCACGAATTTGAGGATCTTTTCCAGTCCACCGCTTTCATTAAATTGTTGTTGAACGTGTTGAAAAGTTGAAAAGCAGCTCCAATTCGTCGAGCCCATGTTGCGTATGCCGAGCGCACAGTAATGGCAACCTAAACTATCGAGAGGTGCTCGGGGAGTAGTGGAGCCGCTAAAATTTTTCTCATAGATTGGGATAAAAGGATAAAGCATTTGCCGTTGATCAATCCCTTTTTGGGATGCGGCACGCATTCTACTTCCATTTGTACATTCGCAGTGGCGTTTGAATGCGATGTGGCCTATACAATGACTTGCGGGGCCAGCCGATGTACAAGTCAGTGTTTTTATCCTCCCAGACAAGTCTGGTACCATCTAGCTGACCTTGGAGGGATGGAAGGCTTACAGCAACAGTTCCAGCTGTGTTTTGCTGTCGATATTAATGTGGTGGAAAGACACTAGTTCATTCAAGAATATCTGAAAAGTTACTGAACAAAAAACTCACCTTCGAAAGATGAAACTATCCGATCGTAACAATCGTAATGCGTTCCGTCCACTTCGAGAGCAGGGTGAAATCGCTTGAGGATTCTCAACGGCTCGTCGCATTCAGTTCACGCTCTCCGCGCGGACATTCACTCTCGCCACCCGCGAGCCGTCTGTGCTCTCCGCGCGTACATTCACTCTCGGCACTACTCTCGCACAGTAGAGAGCCATGGTCGAGGAATTCCTCGACCGTTATTCACCCTGTTGGAGAGTGCTCGACTAGTTTCTAGCAGCTTTTAAAGGTGGGTTTTTTCCCAGTAGCTTTTCAGATGTTCTTGACCAGGGCTAGTGCAACTTTCCACCCCATTATTATCGAAATTAGAAACCCTGCTGAGACTGTTATTTCAGTTGGCCCAGACGACGCACGGCCCAGGGTTTGGTATCCGGACCGAGTAGTGGTAAGCAGCGTCACTTTCCAGAGCACCACTTC